ATCAGCTGAAGGGGAGGGCGCCCTACCAGGTGGAGTAAGGAGAGATTCCAGCAGAGAATCTGTTAGGGCAGGGCTCAGCAATCCGTGACTCTGGAGCCGCATGTGGCTCTGGAGCCACATGTGGCTCTTTCATCCCTCTGCTGCGGCTCCCTGTCGCTCAAAATATGTGTCAATGTGTGACCCTTGCCAGCACGTGATTTATTGAGCTTTTCGACCCCCAGTAGGCCAACCATGGATCAGTCTAAGAAAAGAAAAGTTTCAGAAGAAAACAGAAACTTTAATTCAAATATAAATGCTAGTTTTGTGGGTGCCCAGGAAATAGTCAGGCGCGGGAAGGTTTTTGTGGCTCCCGGTGTTTTCTTTTCTGTGGTAAACGGGTCCAAGTGGCTCTTTGAGTGTTTTAAGGTTGCTGACCCCTGTGTTAGGGGAATAAAACATCAACGGTCAAACTCTTAGATCTATCTCTGCAGTTCCCCAAGGGAAGGCAGGCAGCCTGGGAAGATTCCTGTAATGTAGGCGATCAGCAATGAAATATCGGTTTCAGCCTATCCCGCTTGGGTAGGAAAAGAGCGGGCGGAGCTGGGGGAGGACTAAACTCACTGGGTCACCCCTTAGAATCATCACATTCTCACAAGCGCTCCAGGTCCAAACCCCTCTTGAATTCTACTGACCCATATCTGGTGCCAATTGAGTATTGGACTTTAGTTGGCTGGATTCACGTCAGGCGCAAAGGATCAGGACCGTACGTTGAATGGCAGCTCGCAAGATTTATTGCTCAAGTCTATACACAAGGACCTAGTCAACTAAAATGCAATAGTAAATTGGCACTAGATAGGGGTCAATGGAATTCAAGAGTCTTTTGACTTGTTTGTGGCCATGTCATGACTCTAAGCTAATGGCACACTTAACTCCGCTCCCCTAACTCTGCCTGCTCTTCTCCTACGTTTTTGTGCTTGATAGAATTTGACCCTCATTCCTTGGGAAGTCTTGTCTTTCCCTCCTCTCTAAAACCGCTAACCTCACCTCTATCTCCTCTTAATTTATAATCTGCCCTTCCCGCCCTAGATGGCAGTGTCATTGAACCCAAGATGTCCGCCAGCTTCGTGCCTGACCACAAGGCACCCATGGTGTTGTTCCTGGACCGTGTCTACGGTATCGAGAACCAAGACTTCCTCCTCCATGTCCTGGAAGTAGGTTTTCTGCCTGACATGAGAGCTGCGGCCTCCTTGGACACAGTAAGTAGCTCTGGGACAGGATGGCATCATCATCATCATCACAACATTCAACCTGTACACCTAGGGTTTAGTCAGGCAAGATTCTGCCTGTTGGATGCAAGGAAGTTAAAAAAAACAACAACTGAACTTTGGTTGAATTGCTCTTTGTTATTCCTGGGTTTTCACCTGGCAGCTCTGAAAATGGTGGGTGATGTACCTTGGTCATGCCTTGACCTCCTGTCTCTCTCAACCCAATGCCTCTCGTGGCTTCTCCTTCCCACAGGCGTCCTTTAGCACCACGGAGATGGCTTTGGCCATGAACCGCTACCTCTGCCTGGCTGTGCTACCACTCATCACCAAATGCGCCCCTCTCTTTGCCGGCACTGAACACCGGGCTATCATGGTGGACTCCATGTTGCACACCATCTACCGGCTGTCTCGGGGCCGCTCCCTCACCAAGGCGCAGCGTGACGTCATTGAAGAGTGCCTCATGGCGCTGTGCAAGTAAGGAGAAGAATGGAGGAGGAGGAGTGGTAGAAGCCGGGGGCGGCGTTAAAAGAGGACTCTGCCTAGAATCATTGCGTAGGCACAACCCAACTTCCCTTGAATTCCATTTTTTAAAGGTTTTTTATTTATTTTTAATCTCATACCTACATATACAGATATATATTCTCATAGTTATTATTCTTATTATATTTAAATATTCATTTTTCCATATTAAAAATTAAGATATATATAATCGGGATTTGCTTTGCTTACCATCCCGATACACCTATTTTATTTTATTACCCACTTTCCTTTCCTTTTCTCCCTCTCTCCGTCCCTCCCTCCTTTCCCTTTCCTTCTTCCCCTTCCACTCCCCTACTCCTCTCTTCCCTTTCCCCTTCATACCCTCTCTCCTCCTCTTCCTGCCCCTCCCAATCTTCCTCTCCTTTCCTCTTTCTTCTTTCCCTCTCTTTTCTTCTCTTCTCCTCTCCTCTTCTTCTCTTCCTTGCCTCTTCTACTGTTGTAGTTACTTATTTTCCTCTTCCGTTTGGTGTATTTTCGGGATGGGATTCCAGAAAACCCGAATATAACTTTATATTTACCATTTTATATTCCCTTTCCCTCGTTATATTTTCCAAACTGTTTTTCACCTATGTCTTATTCTTTGAACATATACATACATTACTAGTTTATCTCTTTTACTGGTCTTTGAAGGCTTCTGCGCTTCCACGCAGGTGCATGGCACATACAGCNCTTCTTTCCTCTCTTCCTTCCTTCTCTTCCAGGCATGCGAGGATCCACCCCCTTGGATGTGGCTGCAGCTTCAGTCATCGATAACAATGAGCTGGCCCTGGCTTTGCAGGAGCAAGATCTGGAAAAGGTAGCATTGCCTAATTAAGAGGATGCCAACATGCAGGGAGGGGTGGCAAAGAATATCCCACTCATATCCTAGAGGGAGAAGGTGGCCTCGAGCCCCCCTGCTCAGGACAGGAATCCCAGTGGAGGCACCTCAGGCTCATGATGTTACATAGTTTGGTAATGAAATGTCTGCAAGAAAATCACCAAACTCAGAGAGCACCAAGGACCCCACAGCCGTCCTCCTCTTCTTCACAAAGCCCACTCCCTTGATGACATTGCCCAGCTGGGTCATGAAATGTCTGCAAGGAAATCACCAAACTCAGAGAGCACCCAGGACCTCATAGTTCAACCTTGGCAACATCTTATTGGCAACATCCTTTCTACCTTCATTCAGTCTCTGATTATGGTCAGGATATTATGAGGACGGGCCCTTCCGTTGTGATCAGTTATGAAGAGGTTCCTTCAATCCGTTCTGCTCACTTTGATGGATTTGCTTCGATAGGAGATCAGTGGAGCCCAGTGGAAATCTTGAGATTTTTTTTCCCCCTCCTCGCCTCCATAGGTGGTGACCTACCTTGCTGGCACGGGCCTCCAAAGCTGTCCCATGTTGCTCTCCAAGGGATATCCTGACATTGGTTGGAACCCTTGCGGAGGCGAGCGTTACCTGGATTTCCTGCGCTTCACCGTCTTCGTCAATGGTGAGTTGGGTGGCCAAAGTGGTCACATACTGAGACAGGTAGGGCATGTCTTCTATCCATAAGAAGGTTGGAGTCACTAAAGAAGGATGCATCCGATTCTGCAACTCACTCTTCCAGAGTACATGGAAGCTAAGTTGTAGTCCATCTGTCCATCCATCCAACTATTCATCCATCCATCCATCCATCCATCCAACAATTCATCCATCCAATGATCCATCCATCCATTCATCCATCCATCCAACAATTCATCCATCCATCCATTCATCCATCCAACCATCCATCCAACCATCCATTCATCCA